CTGACCCTCTTGCCTTCCTCTTATAAGGACACTCATGATTATATTGGGCCCACCCGGACAATCCAGGATACTCTTCCCATCCCAAGATCCTTAAGTTAATCACATCTGTAAAGTTATTTGAGTCTGGAGTTCTGGTAAGCGATCTAGGCTGAAATAAACGTCTGGCATTTAAAGCCCTTATGGGGGAATGTAGTGGCTCCCATGATGTAGGATGGGGTGGAACGGGACACTGGATCTTGGGATAGAAAAGTTGTCATCATATCTCTTATTCTCTCTCTCTTTTTCCCCTGTTCCCCTCTCCCGTCCCAACTCGCTTGGCTGTGGGTGTCTAGAATGGATTCCTTCTCTCCTACTGCGGGATCACATATGGTTGCCAGCAACCCTAGGTTTAAATTGTCTTAGTGAGAAACCCCAGAGAAAAGATAGAATTTCTCTCCTGTGGATCCACATATCAAATCCCACAGGGCCCTGAGGGGGCCTGAGGAAGTCTCACGGCTAGTTGGATGGGCTGCTGGTGTCACCCATGTGGAAGGTAATTGTTGGTCCCAAGAGAACCAAATAGAATCAGAGGAAGGGCGGTTCCCCAGAGTCAAGAGGGAGGAGGCTCTTTCTAGAAAGGAGGGAGGGATGTTGGTGAAACAAAATCTATAGCTACACTAAAAATGCTGCACACTTTTATTTTTAAGCTTATTTTTTAGAAAAATTTAAATATAATGAAAAGTAGATAGAATAGTCTAATGATCTCTCATGTACCCTCTCCTGAACTTCAACAGTTACTCTGAAACCAACTTGTTCTACATGCCTGTCTCCTCCTCTCCCCCACTTCAGACTATTGTAAAGTAAATTCCAGACATCGTATCATTTTTCCTGTAAATGTTTCGGTATATAACACTAAAGAATAAGGACTCTTTTAAAAAAATAAAACCACATACCGTTATCGCACTAAAAAAAGTCTAACATTAATATCATTAACTATTCAGTCAGTGTTCAAATTTCCCCAATTGTCTCATAAATGATGGCTTGGGATAGGATCCAAATAAGGTTGATCCCTTCCATTTGGTTCAGAGTTTCCTTTGGAAATATATCTGTAGATCATCTATCTAGAGCCATCAGCAAACACACACTCTGTTCCGGGTTCCTCATAATCCAGACCTTGTGCTCATTACTCTCTCTCTACCACCAGGTCGGTGGCCTTTCTCTTGTCGCTAGGACACTTTCACTTCTTTAATTCACTGCCTCTAAGCACCAAAGTGGCTTTAACGCAGAAAGTATCCTGGAGCCATGCTGAAAACAGCAGATGTGGTTAGGTGAGTCTGGTTTTCGAAAACCCCCAAAGTTCTAGACATATAGCATTACAGTCATGCATCCCCTCCTCCTATGTTCCCCCATTTGGAGACGAAAACAGAGATAATTCCTCCTCCTCATTCTCTCCATATAGGCTTTTGTCCTATATGTTCAAGTGCCCGTTTGCTTCAGGCAGAACCTTCAAGAAGTTGATCCACCTGGACCTTGCTTAGACAGACGAGTTGCTGAGTTGAGGAATGAACTTCCTTCTCTGTGGTTTGCGTGTCAGACTCTTGACCTGTCGGTGCGTCTGTCCCCAGAGCCTTGAGGTTAAGGTAGGCTCTGGGGGGAGGGGTGGAGAGCAGGAAGGGGGCCTCAGAAATATGAACAGAGAGGCACCAAGGGTCGCACCTTACCTTTAGAAAGGCTCAGCAATCCCACTGCTCTCTTGGTGGAATCCAGAGAATTTTGCTGTCGTCACCGTGCATTTTTTCACTTAATTTTAATCACATATACAATTTTACTCTTTTTCCTTCACCGTGATGTCATAAACACTTCTTTTCTGTTATTACATATTTTCCTTTACTGTAAATTTTTAAAGATCCATAATATCCAAGGAATTCTTTCTTTCTTTTTGTTTTTTTTTTTGAGGAAGATTTGTCCTGCGCTAACATCTGTTGCCAATCTTCCTCTTTTTTCTTTTTTCTCCACAAAGCCCCAGTACATAGTTGTGTATCATAGTGGTAGAGTTGTAGCTGTTCGATGCGGGACGCCGCCTCAGCATGGCTTGATGAGCGGTGAGTAGGTCCGCGCCCAGGATCTGAAACCACGAACCCCAGTCCCTCCCCCAGCCGAGCAGAATTAACCCCTATGCCACTGGGCCAGCCCCCAAGGACAATATTTCTTACTTCACAGGATTGTTACAGAGATGAAATGAAATAATGAAGGTTTAGGGCCCTTGTAAACTTGAATGTTAGAAATCATGTGCTGCTATCTATGTTTAGATGCAGTAAGTGAAGTTGTAGAAACTGTCATTCCCTCTGTGGCTCAAAGGTGCTCAGTCCTTGGAAGCAGAACCTGACCATTAAGGAGAGAGAACGTGTTTGTTCAGACCGTGCTCAGTTGTTGGCTCAGAGTCGGGGCTCAGTAAAGAGCTGTGGAGCAGTGCTTTCTGGAAGAGGAACTCTTGTCCTCATCCCCTCCCTCCCATGTATAAGCAGAGGGGAATTGCTAAAGCCTAAATGAAGTGTTAAATCCAGAACACAACGAATACTGCAAGAATTACTACTCTGATTTCTTTATAAATGGAGCTGAGAATCTCAAATATTTCTGATATTTTCATGAAGATTTGTGAAATCCTCACATTCTTTGCATGCCATTTTATTTTTATATTTTAGAATGAATGTGGTTGGAGCTCAGCGTTGTGTGGCCTGAATGAAGATATAAGCAGAGGAGAATTGTGCATGCAAATATAATTATTTATACTTCTCTTATCATCGAAGAGGTGATTACAGCATTTCTACAGTAGAGTAGGTCAACAGGCACATTTTGGATTTTATCCATCAGAGCTGCAGATGTGGTCTGACCATACCTCTTATCCATTCAGTTCTGTTCCCTCGGCTGTTTTCTCTATTCCTGTTCCCAGATACATTTCTCCCTGGAGATTGTTTCCTTCTGGACTAGTCTCGTAATCTCCCCAACCCATATTTGGTAGAGTCTTGTAGAGCTCACTCATGTCCGTGAGAAAGGATTGCACTTTCCTGCCCCGCTTGCGTTTGGGCAGGACTGTGTGACTAATTCTGGCCAGTGGGCTGTGAGGGAAAGATGTGTGTCACTTGTGGGCTGAGGCAGTGAGAAGCTTGTGCATAATTCTCCAGGCTTACTTTCCTCACTTCATCAACTGGGCGGCCACAAGTTCAGGATATTGCAGCTACGTGATGGTAAAGCCTCCATCAACCTCAACCTTGAATCACCACATGAGGACAATTTCCTTGACAAGTTACCTGGCCCCACAGTGGCCTTTGTGTGATTGAGAAATAAATTTTGGTGGCATCAAGCCAATGATATCTGGGTATTTCTTGTTGCTGTGGCACAATCTAATCTATCCTGATTCCTGCACATTCCATCTCTAAAATTGCCTCAACCTATTCATCGATTTTTAAGCCTTTCCTGTATGTGGATGGTAAATCCTTAAAAATTTGATATATCTACATTTTTTTAGATGATATAGAAGTATTTTCCAAACTGTAGTATGCATACCGCTAGCGGTATGTGAGATAGTTTTATGTGGGACATAGATAGCCTTGTTTGTATTTTAGATATTTATTTACATTTATAATTTGCTTCTATTTATGGCAAGTGATTCTCATTTTCCATTCATAGTAGTTACAGAAATATTTCTTTTAAAATAACTTGGGAGAAAATGAAGTGATTGAAAGAGAAATACCCAGTAGATAAAAGTAAAATTGGCTTGCAGATATGGCAAAATCAGAGAGGTGGTATTCAGATGACTCGAGAGTTGGAACATGCTGTATATGGTAAATTATTTGGTGGAATGTCTATTAAAGAAGATCTCCACCAGTCAGGGAGACTTTCATTTTTGATACCCAGCGCTCAGTGTTATTCAGTAAATGTTTATGAATGAGTGGATATTTTTATAAATTTTTTATCCAGGAACTTAAACAATGGAAGCCCCAAGCCAATCCTTTGAGGTCAGTTGCCGTGTTTTTCTCGTTCTTCTCTGTTCTTAAGAGGTTCTCTTTGCAGTAAGTATATTAGGCTCAAATCAGATTTGACCAAAGATTAGCATTCATGGCATTATGACATTTAAGAATTTTAAACGTGAGCATAGTTGACAATTTTAAAATGACGATTTGTTGGGCTTATATTCAGAATGCGTGTTGCTCTTGGTCTGACAGAAGTCATGAGCGTAGCCTCGTTGGTTCTGCCTTTTCTCCATCCTCTGGACCCTAACCACAAATGGCTTTGTATGCATAGTCATACCGTCTAGTGTGGTACTTTGACTTCTTTCGCTGTGCTAGATGAGGAGTAACATACTTATCAGTGACATGAGCAATAAACATCATTCTTGTGTGGGAACATCATATATTTCATTTCAAATGTAGACAAGAAGATGTTCTATCAATAGCTTTCTATTGATTGGTGTTTTTATGCTTTTTCAGTACAGCTGCCAGAGCTGTTCCTGAGGAGGTGACCCTGTCTCACACTAGGTGTGCGAGCCTCCTCCCTACTCTCTTCTCTCTCCCTCTCCCCCTTGGCTCCCCCTCCCTGAGACCCGCACATTGGTATGGAGGTTAACCAATTTAGCAGCTTTAGAGACATCTACAATGGAAAAAGAATCCACAAAATGGTGGCCAGAGAGAGGTGTGTGTGCAAACAGAACAGTCAGCGGATCATCCACTTGCTCTGCTAGACTGAGCATGTGTCATTTCAAATACTTCTAGAAGCCGACAGTCAGCTTAATCACTGTGCTGCGTGTCTTTCTGAGTCTCTGCTCAACCACCAATCCCTCCCCTCTCCTCCTCCCCTTCCTCCAAAATTCAGGTGGAGGATGATCACCCTCCTTTTCCTGACCTAAGATGGCTCTGAAAGTGGTGATTGACATTTATCATAATGACTCTGAGACCTGAAGAGGCAAATTACGTTCATGTTTTTTTCATGACATTTTTAAAACTTTCTAATTCAAAATAATTTTAGCCTCATGAAACTGTTGTGCAACTAATACATAGTTCTCATAAACCCCTCATTTGGCTTCCCCAGATAACATCTTACAAAACCATAGTCCAATTTCTGAAACCAGGAAATGAACATTGATAAAATACTACTAACTAATCTAAAGATCTTATTCAAATCTAGTCAATCATCCGGCTACTGGCTGTCGGTAATTCTTGCCTGCAGCAATGATTATCGTGGCACTTGCCAAATGGTGATTTTCTATTTCTGTCATTCCTTCTACATTTATTCATTGGAATTCCACTATAAGGAAGAGCTGTCTCTTCTGAGCTATTTATTATTCGTGCAATTATTTATTTGTATCAGTATGGACTCATTGATATTTATTTATTCTATCTGTTATAATCCATTACTGTCATAGCTTATTTTGTTGCTCAAATAATTGCTTATATGGCTATTGAGAGCTCATTCAATTTGGCTCATATATCTTTTTGACCTGTCCCCATCATTTTTTTAAAGCACTTCCTTATTTTCTGGCACCGTAAGATGCTCCAAGCTTATCTTGTGCCCCCACCCTGAAATCAGCCATTTCTCCTAAGAGCGCTCGTTTCAGTATTATTTTAATACTACATTTATAACATTCTAATCACGTTCTTTGAAAATTAATATTTGCCTTGTGGGAGATCTTTATATAGGAGATATTAGATATTTTCCTGCCATCTACAGTACTTGGTTAATTATGAAACATTGGTCTGCTAATACATCAGATACAAAAAGCATATTCTATTTTGTAGCATATGGTAAAAAAAAAAAAAAAGGGAAGTCACACAGTTGGGGTTTTTCACCAAAAGATCTGCTATGCTCTTTCTTCGTTGTGCATTTCTCTTTTGCATCTAACCACAGAGTCAATATCTTTTAGACTTCTCCTTGCTTTTGGACTTTGTCGTTGCTAAAAAATGCTTTTCTCCTTCATATAAATTTTCTCTGACATTCCTCTTCTGCAATTTAGCTCCTTACTGGCCTTAACTCTTCTCTCCTCATATTTCATCACGACACCTCCGCTCTTTGCTGAATTCCTGGTATAGCATCTCTGTTTCTCTGATCCTCATGCCAATTTTCTAGTCAATTCAATCAATATGTACAGCTTAATACTGAAGGTGGAGCAGAAAGTTTCTTGGCCCAAAACTAGAGCTTCTAAATGCCTCCATCAAATGTGTGTGTGTGGGCGGGGAGGATGGTTTTTTTATAGAGATGGATTTCAGGCTCAAAAACTAACAAACAGTGGTTTATTTTCTTTTGAAATTCACAGATTTTGCCAATACAAATCTATTTTTTATTATCAAATTTTAAAAACCTAATTCCTTTAATCTGTGGAAGTTTGGTCGTCATCTAATCCAGAATAAGAAATGAAATGTTTTTAACTTTCTAATTTGAATTAATCCTATCCTTACAAAACTGTTGTGAAACTAGTACATACACCCTCATATCCCCTTCACTCAGGTGTACGCATAATTTCCGTATACACTGTATTTCATCCTATGTTACATCTAGAATCTTCCCACTCAGAATTAGTAGGGCCATATAGTCAGCATTTCTTGGTAACCAATTTAGCATTGATTTCTCTTGACTTTCACCAATTACTCTCAGATTTTCCTGTGGGAAAACCACCTCTACGTGGCATTATCATCGTGGCATTATCATCGTGGCATTATCATCGGTGTGGCTTAGAGAGAATGACCCATTCTTTGCCCCAGGGCTGGGCTCTAATTGGCTTTGCCCAGCCAGCTTTGGTGTGGGGCGTTGTTGAAAGATGTATGCATGCTCCAATTCAGGCCAGTGAGATGCATGGAGACTTTCACTGGGGCTTATGGAAGTGAAGTTTCTTCTCTGTTCTGTGGAAGCCCCTGGATGATATACTGTGACCCCTGCAGTCATATTTGTCAACCTGGTGGAGCCAGCCCAAGTGTGAAAGTTACACACTTTGTGAGAAGAGCCCAGAGAATTTCTGAGCCTTGAGGATGGATATAACTATGCCTGAGGCTGGCCTTACCTCCAGGCTTCAGTTTTGTGAATCAATGAATTCCTCCCCGCTCCTTTTTTTTTTGCTAAGTATTTTTGATTTGGGTTTTCTGCAGCTTGCAAAGATTTCTGTTGAAATGGACCCTTTTCTGTACATCCAGTTATGTTCCTTGTACCTGTGTTAGCGTTTATTTTAGTCACTCATCCTAGTTAAATATTTGTCTGTTTTTCCTCAAATAGATTATGAAGTCCTTAGAAGTGTGCTAAACTCTTACCTGCCTTTCTGATCTTTGTACAGGACAAAGCACATCCATTTGGCCTACTCTCTTCCAGGCCCAGAGCTGGATATAGTTTTCCATTTGTGAATTGTGAATTTTATTTAACAAACTACTGTATTAGTTTTCTATTGCTGCATAACAAATTACCAAAAACTTAGTGGCAGAAACAAGTCACGGTTTCCATGGGTCAGGAGCCTGGGCACAATTCAACTGCATTCTCTGCTCAGGGTCTCGCAGGCTGCAATCGTGGTGTCAGCCGGGCTGTGTTCTCCCCTGGAGGCTTGACTGGGGCAGAGTCTACCTCTAAGCTCATTCAGCTTGTTGGCAGAATTCATTTCCTGGGGCCGTATGGCTGAGGGCCCCAGCTTTTTACTGGGCTCTTTCAACATGGCTGCTCACTTCCTTGATTCTCCAGAAAAGAGAATCTCTTGCTTTAGTCTGCTGAAACAGACTCTTATATAATGTAACGTAATTGCAGAGTGACATTCCATCCACTTTGCCATATTCTCTTGGCTAAAAGCAAGTCACAAGTCCCATTCGCCCTCAAGGATAGGAGACAACACAAAGGTATCAGGAGATGGGAAGTCATGGTTGGTTTCTCCTCCACACTGCCTTAAATGTTTATGTTTAAAGTATCTAATTTTATCTCCCTAAGTAGGTTTTACATCTCTCAACCTCCTAGCTCCTGTAGAATTCAATTTGATTCTTAAAAGTACAGCTACATTTATTTTTATACTCAGGAGAGACATTGACTTTACTTGACATTTCTTTTTCTGATCACCTGTATTTTCTTGAGGTTGAGTCATTTTACAAATACTCATGAAATGATTCTTGGGACATGTTTAAATTTTCAAAATACTTTTATGTACTTTTGATGACATTTAAAAAAGCAACAACTCCTAGAGTTGGTTGCATTGGAAATTTGATGTAAATATTTTGCAAACAAACCAGTACTCAATAGCAATATTGAAAAGAAACCCAAAAGATGATGCATTGTCTCCTATAGATAGTTTATTTCAGTTCTAAATCTAACAGCTGGCCTTCTGTGGTTTGTTTTTTCACTAATAGAATGATGTTAAAAGAAAACTTCCCCAAATGCAAAAATTAACACTGTTAATAGGGACTTGTGAAATTTAGCCAAGTTTTTCTATACAGAATAGCTAGATGTGACTCTCAGATTAGATTTTTCAGTATTTACTTGGCTAGTTAATTACAACAAAATATTCATTTGGAACATAATTAAGAGCTATAATTAGGCAAATAAACAAATAATCATCAATAACTCTAAAAACATTTCCAGTCAATAAGTTCTTTTCTTGCGTATATTTTCATATTTTTGTGTTTGATTTTATATCTGCTAATTATTTCTCCCCATTTTGTTTGTATAGTCAATGAATGTCATGATTCCTAGCCACAGTTCATGATTCAGTGAGATATCTTACTTTTCTCTTTTATAAAAAGCCTTTAAAAAAAATAAGTTGGTTAACTTTTTTCCATCTTTACCTGTGTTTAATAAAATTTTTTTTATATAGTTTGTATGGTATTTTATAGGCGCTAGGTGTTAATTTCCTAGTGCCCCGGGAAATGTTATAGTGCTAAATAGCTTATATATAAACAATCTGTCCTTTATGTTCTTGGTAATAAACTGCTTTCAAAACACCGATTTACAAAATGGCATTCAGAGAGATGGACTTGGAGAGAAATCTCTCCCTAGCTGCTGTTTACAGTTTGGGCACTAGATGGCGGAGTGGTTATACTGATCCCGCACATGTACTGTCTCGGAGACACAGGAGACTTGCTAGTTGCACTTAACAGCTTCTATTCAAAAGACAAACGTACCTGTAAATGTGTTGTTGAATTTTTTTCTTTCATGAAGTGCTATAGCCCTTGAGAAGCAATAGTAGATGAATCACTTTGTTTTTAACTACTTAAAGTTTACCTTCCAATGTGTTAAAACCATTATTGGACTATCGTGTTAAATAAAAATCCAGTCTCTCCTGGGGTAAATTGTTTTCAGAATACAATTGATTCTTAAGTACATTAAGTGGACATTTGTTTTCAATTTGGAAAAAAATAGTCTGTGAACAAATGTTTTAAAAGTTTTTAGAAACTTTTTAAGAGTCGCTGTTTCAGCTAATTAGGGTGTAATTACATTTCTGGAATAAGATTATGTCAGAGAAAGCCAATGCCCTTGGCTAAACTGAATCTCTTTTAAATTGATGTCAAACAGACTAACGTAGATATTATTATATGTATATATATCTGTTACATCTATGTAATGTAGACGTTATAATATATATATCTGTAGGAGTTTTCTTTATGTTGGCCAGAAATTTCAAGCATCTCCAAACTTGGTGTCTTCACATTGGATTACTCTTTGTGTGACAGGGTTTGTGACCCAAGCCTGAATCTCTTAGTTCCTTTGAGTCATACAATGCCCAGGCCGTGAGAAGTGACAGATGGGGCCATGTGACACTAGGCTCCAAAGACATGGCTTTGGAAGGTCCCTCTTCTCTTGCATCTTCTAGATTATGTATTTTACAAGTCACAGGTAATTTTCTATTCCTATAAAAGGAAGTTTGCTGAATTGCATTCATTCAAAAAGGAACTGTGCTGGGACTGACCTGGTGGCATAGTGGCTGAGTTCCCAGGCTCTGCTTCGGCAGCCCAAGGTTCGTGGATTTGGATCCCGGGCGTGGACCTACACACTGCTCATCAAGCCATGCTGTGGCGGCATCCCACATATAAAGTAGAGGAAGGTGGGTACAGATGTTAGCCCAGGGCCAGTCTTCCTCAGCCAAAAAAGGAGGATTTGCAACAGAGGTTAGCTCAGGGCTAATCTTCTTCACCAAAAAACAAAAAA